GGAACTTACAAAATAAAAATCACTCTAGAAAAAGACAGCACCAATGAACTAGAAAGAAGCTCAAAAAAAAAAAAAAAAAAAAAAAGTCAAAGAAGAGTTTGATTCATACATGGACACTACTTTGAAAAAAATCTCCAAAGAACTGTTGCTCTTTCCAGACCCAATACCTAAGGAAAAAACATCTTGACTAGACAATTCTGGCTGCAGCATAAAAGATTAGGAGAAGATGATTCAAGAGGCCACCACAGAGTTACACACAATGGGGAACTCTCAATGACAGAACCAGGAAGACGTGGTGGAAAATTAAACAAATGTCCACAACACTACAATCAAAACCATTTTACATGAGAATTCCAAAGCTCAGAGAACTTCAATATGTAAAGCAAATAATACATTTGGACCACAACTGTGCTTCTCTTCACTTCTCTATTCCATAGGCAAACTTTGTAACTGGCAGATTAAAATAATCAAATCCAACCTTAAAACACTAAGATTTAGTGCTTGCCTCACATGTACAAGGCACTGGGTTTTAAATGCAGTTGTATTATTCAGTGTCCCCAGGACCACAAAAAAAAAAAAAAAAAAAAAAAGCTAAGATTTGCCACTAAAGTTATTCAAAAGTAACCTGAGGGGCTGGGGATGTACTCAGTAGTACAGCATGGGTTGGGTTGTTTCAACAGGCACACACACATTATATGAAAATAACCTATTAGTACAGGTAATTATCAATAAAATGAAAATGCTCTATTGGAGGCATCTATAGGGAAAAAAGAAATAAGGATCACTAGCTCAAAGCCAGCCTGAGCAACTTAGTGAGGCCCTCAGCAACTTTCTGAGATCCTGTCTCAAAAAATAAAAAAGGGCTGGGAATATGACTCAGTGGCAAAGTACACCTGGGTTCAACTCCTGGTACCAAAACTAAGTAAATAAATGAAAATTAAAAGGTTGGAGATGTGGCTCAGTGGTTAACTGTCTCTGGGCTCAATCCCTGGTAATAAAAATGAATTCAAATTAAAATAAAATGGGAGGGGGTAGCCTGGGGATGTGGCTCCATGGTAGAACTTGCCTGGCATGTGTAAGGCCCTGACTTTCATATCTAGCACACCAAAAAATAAATAAATGGGGAAAGAAAAAGAAAAACACCTACCACTTTTGCTCTCCCTCCCTCTCAAATACAAGTAGGGAAGGGCAGGGATAACAGAAATTAGCAAATTAATTGGAAGGTGAATTCAAGTGTAAACCTAAACCTATCTGCAATCCTTGAAATGCCATTGAAGTTACCTATGCCACTGATTCTTTACCCAGAGTGAGAGCAGAATCCCCTAAGGGGCCTAGGCATCTGTGTTTTATAAAAGCTGGGAAGGAAAATCACTGGTAAAAAAATCTGAAATGTGCACTTTAAAAAAAAAAAAAAAAAAAATCAATCTCACCCCTAATAGGCATTGTGAAGCCAGACCATCTGCTTATTGGCAAACTGAACCTACTGTTCAGTAAAAGGAAAGAAGAGACTTGATTCAGAATATCAAAGTAATCTTTAAAATATTGTACGGGCTGGGGATGTGGCTCAAGCGGTAGCGCGCTCGCCTGGTATGCGTGCGACCCGGGTTCGATCCTCAGCACCACATACCAACAAAGATGTTGTGTCTGCCGAGAACTAAAAAATAAAAAATATTAAAAAAAAAAAAAAATATTGTAGATTGTGTTAAAAGTAAATTGGTATTACCCTAGGTACATGTATGATGACATGAATGATGTGACTCTCCTTCGTGTACAACCAGAGAAATGAAAAAATTGTGCTCCATTTGTGTACTGTGAATCAAAATGCATCCCACTTCCATGTATAACTAATTAGAACAAATAAATAAATTTTTAAAAAAGAAAATAATAAGATTTTCAGCAATAATATTTAGTGATAAAGGGCTGGGGCTGTAGCTCAGTGGCAGAGCACTTGCCTCGCATGTGTAAGGCACCTGGGTTCGATCCTTAGCACCACAAAAACATAAAATAAAGGCATTCTGTCCATTTACAACTACAAAAAATTAAAAATATTTAGCAATAAATATTTGAAAACTAAAAAATATTTTCCTAATAACCCATAGGTCAAAGAGGAATCCCAAAACAATTTTTTTAATATTTTAAATTGAATGAAATAATGTAATTTGTGAGATATTGTCATACCAATTTGCTTATTTTTTAAATAAGAATAAACAAACGACAATTTCACACAACATGGACTGACCAATGAAGAACAAAAGCCAGACACAAATAAAAGTACAAAAACCAGGCAAAATTAAGTTTATCCTGAATTTTAAAGTTAAGCAAGTGGTTATTTTCAAGGAAAAGATAGTGACTGGAAAGAAATTCAAGTGAGGTTTCTGGAGAGTTGGTCATAAACTATTTCTTGCCCTACATACTGATTTAACAGGATTCAGTTTGTAAAAATTTATGTTTATTTGCATTTTTCTGCAGGTTTATTGTCATCCAACATTTTTAAAGAGCCAAAATATGTAATTAATAAACCTGGGTTTTTTAATCAGAGTAAAATTTCATTATTAAGAAATTTATTTAAATGATTTTAATTTAAAATAAGGCTATAATATATGCACATATGTATGTATATATATATATATATGTAAAACATGCCCAACAATAACGACTTGCCTAAAGTTTAGCTTTCAAATATCTTAAAAGTACTGATATTACAAAAGTGATTAAGTTAAAATAAACAGTGCATTTACTAATCCATATTACTACAGTTTAGAATTTATTAATAACAAATTTGGTAAGTTGAAATCTAATATTAATAAGCATAAATGCCTACGTTTGGGGTAAAAAAGCAATTCCTGCCCCCTAAAAAGGGTGATATAAGACATGGGAGAGGGGAAACTTACCAAGCAGGAAAACATGAATGGATGAGTTCACAGTACAGGTAATTACTATGTGAGTATGTGATGAAAGAAAAAAATAGAGGTTAATCTCTAAAACCAAAATCTAAGACAAATGCAAAACCCCAGATCACAACTCCTCAGACCTGCCTACAAAAAGCAGGGGAGGGGAGGCCTATGTGGTTGTTGAAATCAGCAAGAATAATTAGCTATTGTGGACCTTGTCCATGACTTGCAAAATATAGTGACTAGTAACAAACATATCAGATGGTTTCAATTACCTTCCAAAGAACTTCAAATTGTCTAAATAGTGTAAGTATCATTAAACATCAACAAATTCTTTAATTATGTTCTTGAGGCCTAATCACAGAAAACAGCAATGGTAATAGCTTTAAACACGAAGAGTTAATACATATTTGGGGGGGAAAAAAAGAAGAGGTACTTCCTCACATTAGTGACTCAACACCTAAAGCTACTTTTTGTTTTAGCATTTCTTTATAATTTAGTTTTACACATTTTATTCAAACAGAAATATCAAAAACTAAATTATTAACCAGAAATGCTTGCTTTCTTCATTCTGCTTTTTTGATATTTTCTAAAATGGGGGGGGGGGGGGCTTAAATAAAAATATTTAATAGTTTACTAACAAGATTCCAAACTCTGAAACCTAAAAAAGGTCAAGTTGAATACTTTCTAAACCACATTTCTGGACATTAATATCTACTTTGTTTATTCATCCTCACAAAAAAGGAAATTCACATATGGCCTACTTTTATCATCACAACTCGGCAAAACAGACACTGGGGTCCCTTTTACAGTCAAAGAGACATCAACTTTTTTCAAAGTGGCTGTTATTTATTAAGATCTGAGAAATCAAGATATTGCAGACACCCTAGACATTTCTATCAAGGTAAAACTTAATGCATTAGATTACTAAATTACAAACAGTCCATAAAAAGACTCATCTATGCCTGATAAAATCTGGGGCATTAGGAAAAGAAAGTTTTATTGGGATGAAATCTTTTGCCCACCTTCCCAAATGAAAAATTAACTTAAAACAAACTTCTGCATCTGACTCTCAAAAGATGTTGTCTAGTTTCCACACTAAGGTAAAAAAGCTCCTAGGGCCATACAACTCATCATTTATAGAATATACAATCATGYATTTATGTACAGATCTCTTTAAAATTCAGTTTTGTAGCTGGGTGTATACGTGGAAAAGCAAATAAAACAAAATAGTTCTATTAGAGTCTAGACGTGAGTATATATAAAGATGTTCACTGTAGTTTTTTTCCCCAACTTTTCTGTGTGTGATAATTCTGGATACTAGGATGAAAATGATATATTTCAAAAGTCAGAACACAAATATCAATCGCAACTACAACCTATCTAAATCTTTGAAACCTTTCATCAAATTACAAACCTAGCATTTCAAGCACTTTAACGAAAAAAAGCCGTTCCTTTAAAACGTCAAAATTTTCTTCATAACAGTCAACTAATAAAATTTAACAGCAATATTAAAGATAAACTCTCACCTAAAGCAAGATCATCTAGAAAGTCGTTTTCCAAATTTCATCACAACTTATGACTTTCAACTTTAATGGGAAAAATAACTTTTTCCTCCGAATTTTTTCATAACACCAAATGGTATACCTTAATCTGTTCAAAAGAAAATACAAATCCCTGACAAGCGGATCTGTGGCCCCCTCCCAGGTCCTAAAACCCGCAAAACCCAAGAGTTCAGGGCGCTGGAGGTCCTGGGTGTTCGGTCTAGCGGGCAGTCTCCAGGGTGGAAATGCAACCTAGGATCTACCCAGGCTGAACAGGCAGAGAAAAAGCGAGGAACGAACGCAGACTGCCGAGTGTCGAAATGGAAAGAGACTGTGAAAGGGGGAAGGAAAAATCCAAGCAATCTGTGCGAGGAGGATCTGGAAAGCACCGGGCGGCGCAGGAGGGAGCCAACTCAACACTCCTCGGGGCAAGCTGGGCGCTCCTGGCCTCCGGGCTCAGGAGCGAGGAGGGCAGGTGCGCGGGCCCAAGGCCGGCGCCCACCTGGAGCCCACCTGGGGCCCGGGCCCCGTGCCGCCGCCCCCGCCCTGCCCGCCGCGCCCGCACCTCTCGGTCCTTGAGGCCCAGCAGGAGCACCTCCTCCATCAGGGTCAGCCGCGTTTCCTTGGAGTCGCCCTTGTCGTCGTCGTCCTGCTCGTCGCGGCGGCTCTGAGCGTCGTCCTCGCCGCTGCCGCTGCCGCCGCCCGCCGCCCGCTCCTTGTCGGCGGCGTTACGGGAGGCCTCGGTGCGCCGCTGCACCAAGCCCGAGCTGCGTTGGGTCAGCGAGGTCATGGCTCGGGCCAAGGAGCCGCGCCGGGCCGAGAGGGACGCGGGACCAACCGGGTCTCCCTCCTCCTCCTCCACCTCCTCCTCCTTCCCCCGCGGCCCCCGACCCGGGCTTCCGTGTTAAATCACTGTTCTGGGGCGACGTCGGTCGGCAGCTGGTCCGGGAGCAGTCATGGGGAGACGGGTCGGGGTGAAGCGGGTGGGACCGGCGTCGGCAGGGCGGGAGATGAGCGCCTTCCTGCCAGCGGCCGCTGCCCCAACACAACCCAAGCTCCCCAGCGGAGGCGGCGGCAGAGGCCTTCCAATATGGCGGCGCTRGCTGACGTCACCAGAGGATGTGGCAGAGCCGGCGAGGGGCGTGTCCGGGGGCGCCGGAAGCGGCTGGATCGGGCGGGACTCTTGGTCTTCACCGCCCACCGCTCCGGGCCTGCGAGGTTCGCCCAGCCTCTCAGTCGCTACGTACCCTGGCGTCCACACTSGAGACGTGTCCCGCGTCTGTCCGCCTCCCCGCTTCGCCCCTCACTACTTGGGCGGAGCCAGAGGCCCCCAAGACCCCCTACGGGTGCAGCCCGATCCCGGGCGCCCTAGGTGGACCCYGCTCGGCTCGTAGCTGTCCCCTTAGCACCCCAGACACTGTGGCCTTAAGAGGAAGCTCCTGTCTTTGCGTCCGGGATCCCGCTTGGACGCCCGGATCCCCGCGAGCTGCAGGAAGGACTTTGCTCGCTGCTGGTGAGGTGCCAGAGGTGCGCTCTCTGCCGGGACTTCCTGGCCCTTAAGAAGGAGCACCTGCATCCAAGTGGCTCAAAGTGGACTGGTAGTGTTTTCCAGGCGTAGAGAGGTTAAACAAATTGACCATTGGCTACTGCTGGTAAACCTTTTTTCCTTCCTTGCCTTCGACTTGTCCAGTAAAGTGACCAGGGCTCGGTGAGTGCTGTACACTTAGTACTGAACACGGGAATACACTCGACCTTAACGATCCTTTTATAGAGACAATAAACCTGTTGGGTTTCATGCCACGTCTTTGTTCACATTAAATCTCTAAGTAATGACTAGGTTAAATCCTCTTGGCGTGCTTGACAGTTTGTTCAAACCATGTTCGAGAATAGCAGTCAAGGGCTGGGATTGTGGCTCGGTGGCAGAGCACTTGCCACACACGTATGAGGCACTGGGTTCCATCCTCAGCACCACGTAAAAATAAATTTAATAAAAGGTACTGTGTCCATCAAAACTAAAAGAAAGTAAGAAAGAGAGAAGGAAGGGAGGGAGGGAGGGAGGGAAAGAAAAGAAAAGAGAAAGAAAATTTAAAAAAAGGAATAGCTGTCAAACCGGAAAACCTGAGGGGTTTGGAGGAGTAGGAGAGGGGAGCTGACATTGTGGGTCATCCAGTATTGTTTCAAATAATGAACACAGGCTGTGGCTGAGCAATGGTTTAGATAGATTTGTTTCCCCCTCCACAGATCCAGAACTCCTATGTACCAGATCAACCCCAGGAAAGTGAGAATGCTCAATGACGCCACTGTGGAAGGGTGTGCACCAAGCGTACCTGACCTTTTTCCTCTCTGGGCAAAGTCAGTTTCCCCTCAGCCAGTTTCTCCCATCCAGGTCCTTTCCAACTTTTTGTTCTTTCATCTCTCTTCCAGTTCTTTACCAAATAAATTAAAGCATGTTTCTTTGTGAAAGAAATGTAATTAATTTACTATGTGACTTAGTCAAATTCATAGTTCAAAATGTATAAAATTGTGTGTACATAAAGAATGAAATAGTGGCATTAGCAGGTAAATGGATGGAAATGGAAACCATCATGCTAAGGGAAATAAGTTAGACTCCAAACATAGTGTTGAGTGGTTCTTTCATATGTGGAAGCTAAAGTAAAATAAGGGAAAGAAGGCAGTGTCACAGATTGGATATCAAATATATAGGGAAGATCAGTAGAGTAGGAGGTGGAGAAAGGAAGGAGGAAGTGTGAGAAAGGGGAGGAAATTTGGAATGAATCTTTAACAAAATCACATTACATGCATACATAAATGTGCCAAAAGAATATCCACCTTTATATGTAGAAAATGTCAATCAAAAATAAATAAAAGAGCCAAAGAGAGTAGAGGAAGGAGAATAGGGGGAAGAAGGAAGGGAGTGGGAGATAAGGATTGAAATCAAATTCCTTGCATGTATGACTTTGTCAGAATGAACCCAACTACTATGTGTAATGCTCTAACTTAAAAAAACAATGTGTGTGGGGCTGGGATTGTGGCTCAGGGGTAAAACACTTGCCTTGCATGTGCAAGGTGCTAGGTTCAATCCTCAGCACCACATAAAAATAAATAAATAAAATAAAGGTATTATGTCCAACTACAAGTAAATACACACACACACACACATATATTTTGTTAACTGTGTAGCCAAAATCTTCCAGCACTGCTCCTGTTTATCCAGTTGGCCCCACCCCCTGCTCTCCTGAAGATTCTACAATATGCCAGCAATTCTCTGATAATCTTCCCTTAAAATGTGAAGCCAAACATCCCTCCGCTTCAGTGTGGGCCAGTCTTAGTGACTTTTCCAATGAAGAGAATGTGGCCAACATGACTGTGTGTGACTTCTCAGACTAGGTCATAATATTCTTTGCAGCTTCTTTCTTTGTCCCATAATCCCATCATTCACTTTGGGGGAAGCCCACTGCCATATCATGAAAACAATGGGAGAGCTATTCACTAAGAGACCACTGGGCAATGACAAAGTCTATATGAATTTATCACAGTGAAGCTTTTGAGAAACATAAAATTTCCAAAAGGATCTATCATGTAGGTGGGTGTTAAGGTCTGTAAACAAGTCAAAATAACACCTGGTATTTTGCCAGAGAAATGTTAGAGTTCGTAAACAAGTCTGGATGGTGCCTGGCAAAATGTCAGAGGGAGTGGTTTGAGAAGTAACAAAAGCGAGCCATTAAGTGTGGAGATTCCTTATTGGTTGATTGATGTATCTAGTTTATGCTAATTAAGATAAGCTGTGCAAAATGTATAAATAGCTCTGTTGTGCTACAATAAACGGCTCCCATTCCTGCTGTATCAACGTAAACAAGTTATTCGTCACCCCCCAGTTATTTTGCCCAGCCAGACGGGCTGCGGCAGGTGGGTATATACAGGGACTTTGTGCCTTAACCCAATAAAAAGGCCTTGTAAATGAAGCTATAAAAATACCAGAAGAAAACCATGGATGAATTATTTTATAACAATAGAAAGGAGAAGCATTTATCACCATGACACAAAATCTGATTAAAAAAAAAATTTAAGATTACATATTCACATAAAGTTGCAAAATTATTACAGAAGTGTCTTGCATGCCCTTAATCCAATTTCCTCCAGTGGAAACATATAACTATGATATGCTGTCAAAACAAGGAAATGAGCAGTGAACATTAGCACAATTCACACATTATTCAGATTTCATTGGTTTTTATATGCACTGTGTGTGTGTGTGTGTCTGTGTCTGTGTATGTAGGTCTATGCAATTCTACCATATGTACTCACCATCACAATTAAGATGTAAAGCTGGTTCATCACAACAGTCCTCATGCTACCCCTTATAGTCACAGCTGTCTCCAGCCTCTCACCCCACCCCATTTGTAACCTCCGGACCAGTGATCTGTTCTCAATCTCTATTATTCTGTCATTTGAGAATGTTACATAAACGGAGTCATACACTATATAGACTTTTGGGATTTGCATTTTTCTTCTGCATAGTTCTCTTGAGATCTATCCAAATTGTGTATATCTATAGTTTATTTCTTTTTATCTTTGAGTAGTATTGGATAGTACATGTGTAGTACAGTTTGTTTATTCATTCATTGAAGGACTTTTGAATTGTTTCCACTACTATGAATATTTACATGTTTTTGTGTGGATACAAGTTTTCACTTATCTGGATTAATGTCCAGAAGTACAATTGGGAAGAAAGGAAGGAAGAAACAAACAAACCCAAGAAATTGTTTTCTAGAGAGGTTGCTATTTTACATGCCCAGACTAACTTTTTATGAAGCATAGAAGTATAAAAATAAGTAGCAAATCTTTCAGAGGCATGCAATAAATTTTTTTTCTTTTAAAATATGATATGAGAGCTGTAGATGTGGCTTAGTGGTAGAGGGCTTGCATGGCATTCATGAGGTCCTAGGTTTGACCCTCAGCGCTGAAAAATAAAAAGCAAAAAGAATTGGGCATGAAAAATGTAATTAACCATTAATTATATGTCAAAGAAGGCTCTGTTTTACATGTTGCTTTTATTTATTTATTTTTAGTTTTTTAGGTGGACACAATATTTTATTTTTATGTGGTGCTGAGGATCGAACCCAGTGCCTCACGCATGCCAGGCGAGCACGCTTCCACATCCCCAACCTACATGTTGATTTTAGACTGAAGGATAGGTCACAATTCTTCAGTCCCCGTAATCATATTTTTACATCCTTGCTGTGGCCTTGTAGCAGCAGGAGTATACTTTCTCACTCTTGATGTCAGTTTAGCCCAAGCCTTGACCTCTGAACTGGCCACCTGACTGCCTTTGGCAAGCAGGATGTTACTGATGTAAAGCAAATCAAGGCTTGAAATATGCTTGTGACTTGGGCTTGTCTTCTTGTGCTCTCGCTAACCACCAGGATTCGAAGAACTTCTTTCATGGCTTTGAGAATCACTTTGGATAGCCTCCCAGAGTTTCAAAAGAAGGAGAATGGAGCAGGTAGAAGCAAGCTCACAACCTAGAGGCAAGCCTAGCAAGCCCAGTTGAGATCAGCAGAGCCATTCAAACTACCCATGATTGTATGAGCCAGAAACAAAGGTTATTTTATAAGCCACTAAGTTTTGTGGTGTCAGATAGCAGTAGGTAAAGAATACTGATAAGTTAGCTCATTTAGTTCTCATGACATCCTGTGTACTATAATTAGCCCCATTTTACAGAAAAGGAAACAGGCACAGAGTCATTCAACATCTTGCCCCAGGTTACACAATCAGCTCCAGAGGCCACATTCTTTACAAGGACCTGATAATGACTCAGTGTTTTTAGGGTCCAACAACTACATAAAGTGGTCTTCCTCATAACAAACATAAAAGCCTGAAACAAATGTAAAGTTTCAAAGGCTTTAAATTTCAAATGAAAAAAAAATTATTTTTGAATAAGTAATAAATTCACATATTTTATTTTCAAAAATTGAATAAAAGGCCTGAACACAAACACATTGCATTTCAACCCTGATGTCCATCTATTGTGAGCATAATTCCAAGATGGCTGCCATTGCCCCCCCCCCTTCTGTGTGATCCCTTCTCTTTGAGCCTGGGCAGAGCTAGAGAGCT